CCAGACACCTCAATAGTTGGAACTGGTCTCCGACAACCACTGTCACATAAATTTTCCTCCACAGTAGCTAATAACACAGCAAGTAAATAAAGCTTAAAGATCACTCCCTTCCCCCAATGCAATGTCAGCTTTCTATGGGCATGAGTCATCGTAGTCTCTGTCACAGCTAAGCCCACTCCAAAATGGAAACAGTCCCTGTACATAAAAGGAGATTAGTCAATCTGCACAGTATTTTCTGTTTAGATTGTAAGTAACATGAGGGCAGAAATCATGTTTTACTATAACCCTCAGGACTTGGTACATGGTAGATCCTCTAAGAGCTATACCAGATAAGAAATTACGAAAGATTTGACTAGCAAAGTAGTTTAATCAGGGCCCTCGCTCGTGGTACCAAGGGTTAAAGCATAGCACTCTTAAGCTATCACAGCCACTACATCACAAGTTCAATCCCCGGACAGGGAAGGGATCCACATGGTGCTGCAGACCTCTCCTGTCTGGTCCACTGCTCCCCTCAGCAGTGTTCTTCATCAGTCTGCCTTTCTGTTCCCTACTCTGCCTTTAGTGAATCCTCTCACCACCCCTGCACCTCTGGCCTATACCCCAGTTATTTTATGCATAAATAAATCTTTAAAAAAACAAACAGGTTAAGCAAAGGAGGGGGGAACAAACAATGCAAGGCAAAATTCAGCAGGAGTGATGACTGGCTAGATGGGAAGAATGGTAAAGTAAAATTCTTACTTAGACATGAAACAGTTTATTTTAACTTTAAGTGCCTTATTAAGGTTCAACTAGCCCCATAAGATACCATAACACTGTAAAATCAAATTCTACGTGACATTTTATAGAAGGATCTTCCAGTCCAGAGTAGAAGGCAGGCGTGCCCTTGCAGGTCTCTAAACAAAACATGAATAGATCACAGCAGATACTAAGCACAAGTCACATGGGCCGCTTGTAAAATCAAGAAAGAGCAGCTGATACACAAAGCTGGATGTTAACAATACCAAAGATTTACAGTGTTTCTGATCTTCTGAAAAAGCCTAAATAATTTCCATTAAAGGAAATGTTCCTTTTTTACATAAAGAAGATATTCTTTACTATAAGCATCTTTGTTCCTATGAAGCAAAGAAAGGTTGATTCTGTCCCAATACATTTAAGAAAACGAGAACTGAATTGTTCTCATCTGGCTGAGAAAAATGGCTGATATCCCATCTTTCTTTGTATTAGCCAGAAAAAGCATTCTCAAGATAGCTGCCCATGCACATTATCATGTAGTCCAGACTTTTAGGCAAAACCCATACTAGTATTTTTATTGTCAATACAATTGGCCCTTGAACAATAAAAATTTTAATTTCACAAGGGCTCATATTTATGCAGATTTTCTTTTAAACAGGAGATAAAAATTTAGAGTATCAATATACAGTACATTTTCTTTACTCTAGTGTACTTTCCTCTTAAGATACAATATATAATATATTTAACATACAAAAAAAAGTGTTTAACGACCGTTAATGCTATCAGTAAGTTGCTGCAGGTCAAAAGCAGGCTATTAGCAGTTAAGTTTTGGGGAAAGTTAAAAGTTGTAAGGGCGTTTTTGACTATGCAGAGGATTGGCATCACTGATCCTTGGGGAGCACAAAGAAAACTTATATATTTCATTAAGGAAATTAAGAAGAAGCTCATGGAAATAATCTTTTTTCCACACATATTGCCATGCAGTAGCAATGCCTTAGGAAGTACTGCCTTCTCTCCCTGTGACTTGTTCTCACATTCACACACAAGAAGCAAGACAGGTGATGTGAGACTGTTGCTGTTTTCGATCCACACCAACTTTGAAGGTTTATAATCACTGTTGCCTTGCTTTATATGTACTAAAAAAGTAAATAAATAAATAAAAATAATTAAGTGATATAAAATGGTCACAACATAAAAATGTCTATGGCGATCATTTTTTACAAATTCCAAGAAATGTTAACAATTCACAAGTATAACTTAAAACTCTCATCTGAGATTCTGGTATGTCATTTTCTAATCATTTATCTTCTCTTTGCATTTGGTACAAATCTATGAAGGATTGCTAGTAAAAATAACTGAGTTTTTATGAGTTTTTATTATATAGCCACAGGATTGAAAGTTATCATCAGTGATTCTGATATTGCCATACTATAAGTCCTGAGATTAAAGGTTATCATCAATGATTCTGAAAGAAAAAAATCTTAATAATTAATCATATTTTATAACATATGTTTGAAAGATCTGCAGGCACAAATATTTAGGGTCAGTTTGTAGGAATCCCAAACATGTTTCAGAGAAATTTTCAAATTAGTCACACATTGGGAAAGTTACTACAAAAATTGATCAAGTAATTTGGTAAACTGAAAGTATCACCACTGTTGAATGCATATTACTGCTTCTACTAGACAGTGTAGCCTTAAGCAGCATTAAAATTTGGTAGTTCAAAGGATTTTCTAGCAGATGATACTACTATAATCTACTAAGTCCATTAATCTTATGGGACAAATAATTGCTTTTTCTTTTAACAAGCAAAATTCCTAAAGGAGAAAATTTATTCTTCTTACAGCTATTTATCATTCTTCCACTTTGAATCTTTATCTTTTTCCAACTTTTTAATCGCAGCTACATATTCATAGATATTTGTGTTATATATATAAAACATGAAATTTATTGTCTTAAACATTTTGAAATGTACAATTAGTGAATTAAGGCCATTCTCATTGTTATGCAACCTTTTCCACCATCCAACTCCAGAATCATCTAACAAAATGGAAACTCTATACCCATTTATTTATTTTATTTCAATTTTTTCAGCTTCTCTCTCTGTTTTTTCCACTCTGAATCTCTGAATGTGTCCTATGCTGGAATATTGTAGAAGTAGAGTGTGTGTGCACACACTCTCAGTTTGGGAGTCCTAATGAGGTGTTCCTATCATGGTAATTGTTTTACAACAAGCAGCAACATCTGGTGGACAGAAAAGGTAACTGCCATACTAAAATACAGAAGCCCAATGTCATGTCTTAAAAATGGATTAAGATTATAACAGTAGATTTTATCTGGAATCTTTTATTAAGTGTGACAACACAAATATGTAACTACAATATCCTCCCTTGTCTTGGAAACAGGCAAGTCGAACAGTACAATCCAGGAACCATATAAACCTAGCAAATCAATCATGTTCCTATCCACTTTGAATAAGTGCAAAGTATTGGCTGAGCAACATTTGAGAAGATAAATAAGACTGAAAGTTTAACCTCAGGATTCCTGAGATACTTAATCACTTTCCTACTAAAGGTAAAGAATCACTGGAATGATTTGATTTCTCTCCTTTATTTTCCACCAGTCCCTCCGTCCAAAGTTTTCCTAATGGCAATAGTGCATAATAATTATAACACACTCATGATAAAGAGAGAAGATGCTGACATAACTAAGAAAACTGAAATGGGCACCTCCCTGGTGGTATATGGGTTGAAGCTTCAGCACTATCAAGCTACCACCAAGCACTGCAGCACAAGTTTGATCCCTGCCTGGGAGCACCAGACGTCTCCTATCTCACCTGCTGCTCCCCACAGCAGTGAATTTAAGTAGATCTGCCTGTTCTGCTCCCCACTCTCTGGTGAGTCCTCTTATCCTCTGGACTACTCCCCAGTCTGCATAAATAAATAATCTTAAAAAAAGGAAAGAAAACTGAAATAGAGTACCCTCTGAATCGTTTTATCATCTGTGCTTGCAAGCAGAAGCCTAACTACAAATCGAACAGCCTACTTTAAACGATGTCTGACATGTAAGACAGTCTAGTCAGTGACCCTCCAAGTCATACTTCAGCTAAAAACAGACATCAGAGAGTGTGATAATGTGCCTCTTCCCTCAGGGAGGTCAAAAGTAAAATGGATAATAGGGCCTAGAACTTATTCTCACTACAAGAAACCAAATAACCAGTAACGTACATGTGCCCTCGTGATTATGACATATAGCAAGTTTCTGACAAATTGACATCTGTAATTAATCTAAAAAGTAACAGGCTGCAAGGCATTTTTGGAATACTACAAAGCTAGAAGGTATTTTATAGTCAAGTATTTTTACAAGATAATTTATGCATACTTTACATACAGCAAAATTGTTATCATTTAAGTCCAATTTCCATGTCATTAGCAATCATCTTAGGAAAACATAATAATCCAAAAAGAGATTTCTAATACTTAAATTATAATGGCAGAGGGCAAGGGGCACACAGATAGCTAACACTCAGGCCATGAAAACACGGCCAGCTCTTGGGCTGCCACCATTCTAGCCTCATAGGAAGGAGAATCGTGAGACATGGGGGTGAAGTCAAGCAGAACACATAACATTAAATAACTTAACTTCGCAAATTAATATGTTTGCTGTCTTCTATTCCATGTAGTTTCTCCTAACACACATAATCCTTTTGTTATTGTCCAAACATTGAAAAAACATTTTTAAAAGCTTCCCTACACAAGCTTCCCTACACTTACTGATTCATTTTTATACTTCAAGGATTTCAAACCCTCAGATGAAAGCACATGTGTAACTGAAGCGGGTGTATTTTCCTGAACGTCTAACAGCAACCTCAGTTCCCTAAATGAGCTCAGTTACCAGACATTATAGATCCTGTAGAAACATTAAACTTAATGACAAAGTAGTAATAGCTTTGTTGTGCTCTACTTTCACAATGCCATGTAAGGCTGGTTCAGAACATTCAGCTAAAAGGCTATTCTACTTTGAATTCAAAATATACAAGAATACTGAGCATGAAATACAGTGTACAATGTTTGGCAATGTGTTCTTGAAGCTGTTGCTTAGGAATAAATGCACTAGGTCCCTAAACTATGATCATGAACTGAGGCAAGCCACTGAATAATTTGAAACCTTATCCCAACATCTCTACCAGGCTCTGATTAAAATGAGGAAGCTGGTTACCAGGATGACATACCAAAAAGTCTTAGGAAACACAAGGACAAAAATCATACCTGAAGGTAAACTGATCCGATGTCCATCTTTGAGCTTTAATCGACTCCTCTTAAACTTCCCCTTCCTTTTCTTTACGTTGGGCTTCTCCTGGTTTAACTGGAATATCAAAATGTTTAGCTCCCGCTCCAGCACATCGATCTCCCGTTCTGCCAGCTGCTGTTCACGCCGCTTTAGTAGTTCCTCCTGAGACTTCTGCTGAAGGGCCGCTCGGGTGAGCTCCTCTTCCCGGGACCGCAGCTCCTGAGACAGAGTCACACCAACACAATCAAGGAGCCGAAATTTCCTCCTCAACCACTTGGTCATTCCAGTCCTCCTGAGACACTGCTCTTTGTGGACAAAACAGTGGGAGCCAGGGCATTTCCAGCATATCATTAACTCAGACACAAACCAAAGTTGGTTTCACAAGGCTGTCTTTTGGTCTTTTAGTGTTATGCTCTTAAGAGGCACCACTCACTTTTTAAACCCAATTTTAACATTTATCTCCCGTAATCTCTAGTCTTCAAAGTCAACCAGATACAAAACATGAACATGTAACAACAAAGTGAATGACCAATTGGAAAGAAAAACCAAAGTTAAAAGCTTGATTGATTAAAGGATACTTGTTGCAGTTACAAGAGACTGCAGTTGAGATTTCTGTGCTCAGTGACTTCCTAATATTTAAGAATATGTTTAGACAAAGCACAGGGGAATAAAAAAACCAAGCTTATGTGTTAGAAGTGAGCTGAAGCACATCAGAAATGAGAAAGTAAGACATCAATAATAATGAATTCATTATTCAAAGAACTTTTTGGGATCCCATCTGCATAGGAAAAACATAATTTTATGCACAGGTCATTATGAATTGCATATAATAAAAGTTCCTGCTGTCTGGACACTTACTGATTAAAGTCTAACTTCCTCTTGTTTTTACTCTTAGAATTATTGAACTCCTAAGAAATGGAAAAATCTATGAACTGGAGAGTACATTTATTCTTATTAGAAAAAAAGTATTAAAAAATAGAACTGAGAAATCTACAAAGTTTTAATATCACACCTTAATTCTTATTTCATTTCTGTAAAGCTTTGTATTCTTCACCAAAGACATAAATATTCCCTTTAGCACTGAGTTACTTACTGTTCTAGATTACTCTGCAACTAACTCGGGCACTTATACAGAAATAAAGGCACTTATAAACTGTTCCTTACACTGTCACAAACACGGTACCTCAGAATATCTTAATACGCAAGTATATGTTAGAAACTATATGTTAGAAACTCCACCATCTCAGGTGGAGTTTTGGGCTATGCACGTTGACAATTATGAGTGTTGTGCAAACATTCTATACTTGACATAAGCCAGGCCACAATACATATTGACCCGCCTCAGGAATACTGAAGAACAAAGAAACTTTGTAAAGTGGAGACTCAGGGAAGAAACTGGAGTTGAGCAAAGGGACTAAAATGCCAACTCAATCCTACTAATCAATTCCCCAGACTCAGGGAAGAAACTGGAGTTGAGCAAAGGGACTAAAATGCCAACTCAATCCTACTAATCAATTCCCCAGACATTTTACAGTTCAAAGAATAATTGATGGCTATCTATCAGCACAATTTGTCAGAAACACAGAAGGACCACCTTGCCATAAACATGATAATATCAAGAAGCAACTAGAACAATCTATAAACAAATATAATTGATCAACTCAGATGAAGTTAAATCTGAACTTATGGTACATCTATCAAAGTAGACTGTTAAGTTTATGTTTGTAGAACAAACTTCATAGACAAAATTGTACAAGAATGATTTAGTTAAAACCAATTGTCATTAAAATCAACTTTGGTTAAATGTACCAATTGATTTTTATAGAGAAGATTAGTATTTCTTCATCATATTGTGCCTATTATAAATTTCTACTTATTAATTGAAAAGAAAGAAAAGGAAATGTACATGTGGAAAAAAATTATGACCTCCACGATAACACTGGTGACTTTCTCCAACTAGTGAACTACTCTGTTCAAATCAGAGACTTTACTGTAGTATACTTGGGAGAAAGAGAATAATTTCCAGTTAACTTCTGATTTCTAACTCATTACTATCTTTTATATATATATAAGATTTTACTTTTCAGTGGTACTGATATGAACCCAATTAGTAATTGTGCAATGAAATGTCTTGAGGAAGAGATAAGGGTAGCAAATTCAATTAGGCTTTGGTGGCTACAACTATAGTAATTTAAAAAGAAACTACATTTAATAGTTTAAATTCTGGGTTCCAAACTAAAGTGCGAGGGCCTCAGCAAAGAGCTTATGAATTAAAAAAAAAAAAAAATTAGTTATCTAGGATTTCGTAAGAGAATAAAAACAGCAACCAAAAGAAAACAACCAAGAGATGCTTCTTTCTGGATTTTAAAATAAGCAAAAGGAAAAGGTGGGGCAGAGGTGAGTCTGGCATCTTAGGGTCCCTTTGAATACTTTCAAATTATGAAAAATATTAAAATTCTTTTGGTTGCTGAAACCACTAAGCAGTAATATTTGTTAAATTTCTTGGCTTAGGCCTTCTAGTAATGACAAATCTGGATTCCTGGTAAGGGATGTTAATCATTAATGGTGACATGCCTCCATACAGTGGTTCAAAGACAGGTGCATGTACCCCATGCACAAAGAAAGACACACAGAGATAAGAAGCCAGGAATTTAGGGAGGAGCTGGTATCTCAGGAGGCTACAGTTTACTGAATAACACAGAGCACAGCCAAGTTACTGGCCATTAATTCCAAGTCTGAGGCCTCCTACCTTAGCAATCAGTGAACAAGAAAGCAAGATAGAGTACGTGCACTGTGCTTTTTACTCCATCAAAACAAAGCAGAACAAAGGCACACAAGCTGCCATAAATGCCATTATCTCAAGGAGCACTGCATAAAAATCATACAAAAAGGAGCAAAGGTGCCATAATAGGACAGCTCAAAAGTCAACCAAAAAAGAAGCAAAGAAACTCCCATAAACCTCAAAATGAAGAAAAGGCAAACATCCATTCTTGAAACATGCTTTTCTGGTTTTTATAAAACCACATACACTAAGAGTTAATTCACTGAATATGTCCCTATGTTGCAGTTTCATAATTCTCAGTCATGGAAAATGCATAGTTTAAAATAATAATTACTAATGTCACTTCCAATTTTTAAAAGCTGTGACTTTCAAGTTTTATGTTTCCTTAAAATCCTCTCCCATCCCTCAAAACCATCTTATTCTTGCTAACAAACAGCTAATCATAGAATTTCTGGAGGGGGGGAGGGAATGAGTAAGGTAAAGAAAAACAATAACTTTTAAGTGGACAAAATATATTAAAGTTTCCAAGAAACACACAATATTGTTGATAGTAATCCTTCAAAGAATTGCAGGCTTTAAGAGTAATCCAGTCAGTCATTTGGAGGCATTACTGCTCAGAGCCTGGTTTCCCAGATGCCTGGCCCAGGAATGGTGGTGGCTGCTGGGACCTGCCCTGGCTTCAATCAAAGCCACCACTTCCTTTGTTCTAAGACTAACACTTAACACTTATTTAGCACTTATTGTTAAATACTGCCCTGAGCACTTTCTGCACATTACTCATTTAAGCTTCATACCATCCCTGAGAGAGACAGCATGGCTGTGACGTTTAATAGTGATGAGGCAAAGAGAGAATATTCTTCCATCAGCAAATGTACAACCCCAACTCAACCCAGGCTGTCTGCTCTGGTCTTAACCACTTCTTAAGATAACTACAAATTTTGGCATTCCGCTGAATATCTAATGTTAAAAGAGGGGGATGGGTGAACTCTTTTCACTCTTTTCAGAGCCCCATTTAGATACCTTCTTCAATTCCTTGAGGGGGGAAGGCCAACAGCTCAAGAAGCAGTCTACTGCACTGCCAGACAGCTCCAAAGGTTAGAAAACTATCCATTCAGAGTCCAAATGTTGTTAAATCCTGAGCATTTGCCCAAGAGGTCCTACTTCTAAACTCTGAACAACATGAACTATAGCTCCTCACTCGTCTACTTGAAAGTTCTTCTAGTTTTTCAGGGTAACCCCTAGATTCCTCACCCCTTCCTGCATCTGTTTTGATCTGTCTGCTCAGATTTCCAGGCCCCTCTCCTGTCTTCCTCCTTGGTAGGGACTTTAAAACCTGGTGACCATAATCAAACACAGAGCTAGGGATAGAGTCAAACAGTCTACTATTTCTTAATATATAAGCTCCATGTGTGCAATAGCTGTGGGAGGGCCTAAGGCTGATTTTGCCTGCTGCAGAGTTTTTAAACTTTCAAGCTACTGACAAATCTTAGGGAGACAGAAAATTACCTGTAAGTCTACTACTTGTAAACATGACTTATAAATATTAGCAGCTTACATATTTCTCTCTAATCTTATCTGTGATGAATCTAAGTTAGGAGACATTTAAAATTTACTACAATGAAAGAGAATAACAAATACCCAAGTACTTTCAAGCAACAACTAATAGATGCTAAATGGTTGCCAACTCTGGTTCAAACACATTTCGTCCTATTGCATCATACCTAATAATCCTGTCACCGCTCTCTTCTGGAATGTGATTCTTCAGATGGCTTGTATCCTTCCCTCTTTATGCTTTTAGCATTTTTGTAATATAAGTAGAATCGCTTTGTATTTTTTATAAATTTACTTAAGTGGTATATAGTGTGCCCTTCTGCAACTCATTTTTTCTACCCAATATTGTGTTTAGAATTTATCTTCATTGAAACACGTAGACTGAGATCACTCATTTTAACTACTCTTTAGCTTTTTCTACTGTATGGAATAGGGTTAGGCACCTACTCCTTTGTTAGGTTGTTTCCAGTTTTTCACTATTGCAAACAATACCCAGTGAACAACCTCCCTTGTGCCCAGGTGCAAGAGTTTCTCAAAAACATTTATTTATGTATTTATTAAGATTCATTTTTATCTATGCATACAGAACTGAGGTACAGACTGAGGTGTGGGGGTGAGAAGATTCATCAGAGACAGAGTAGGGAGCAAAACAGGCACTGATGAAATATACTGCTAAGGGGAGCGGTGGGTGAGACAGGAGAGGTCTGCAGCGCCATGTGGGTCACCTCCCTGGTCAGGATAGAAACCGTGCTGAGGCAGCTACGGCCTTGGAGTGCTGTGCTTTTACCTGTTGTGCCACCAGGGAGGGACCTCAAGAATATTTAACAGAAATTAAACAGCTGAATTATATGTCTCTTTTTCATTTAAATTAGTAATAATAATGTGGATAAAAAGCGTTACTACCTCAGGCCCTCCCTGGTGGCGCAGCAGGTTAAAGCACAGCACTAGGAAGCTAAAGCCACTACAGCATGAGTTCGATCCCTGTCACCCATCCCGGGGGTGACCCACGTGGCACAGCAGACCTCTCCTGGCCCGCCCGCTGCTCCCCTCAGCAGTGTACTTAGTCAGTCGGCCTGTTCTGCTCCCCACTCTGTCTCCGGTGAATCCTCTCACCGCCCCTTGGACCTCTGGCCTGTACCTAAGTCCTGTATGCATAAATAAATAAGTCTTTAAAAAAAATTGTTACTATCTCTCACTTACTTAAATACATACTAGAAGCATATTAAGAAACTTTACATATTGCTCATTTAATGTGTTTAATGCCTAGTACTTTGTTCAGTGTTGCTGCTATCTTGCAGAAAAGGCAGACCAAGAAGTATTAAAGAAGCAAACAACAATCAAGTATCATTGGGTGCCACCCATGATAAGGGAAGTACATGGAACCATGACACAGTTTTATCTGGTGCAGCAGAATAAAGGAAAGAGGCTAGAAAGGACTTAGAATAAAGAACCAAGAAATTTTAACGTGGGGCTCAGGGCCAGGAAGGGGATACAGTTCTCCACAGAACATTTGTACAAGGCTTCTCTCAAGAGCTCGGCATTCAAGGAACTGAGAGGAGTTCAGCATGGACCGGGGAAGGTGGGGTTAAATATATAAGGACGAAGGACGTTAAGAAGGAAAACAAGGGTGGTCAAATTTGCTTTTTAGAAAGGTCACAGGAGTACTGAGGGGATAAATTACAGCGACCAGATAGATATAGAACCACCAGGAGAGATGCTGCTGCAGGAACACAGGGTTCAAGTGTGAACAACAGCAAGCAGGGAATGAGTGGCCCCCCGAGGGCCTTCAGACCTCTGCCAGAGAAAACCCAAAGGGCAGCAATCTCCTACCACAAAAGAGGAAGCAGAGTGAAGGAAGGCAGAGGAGGAGTAAGGGTGAGGTTCTGACTTCAGCATTTGCTTGAAAATGTGGGTAGCACATCAAGTCAACACTTATGTGATATATCAATGTCCTTGATAGTATATAGTATAACTAAGCCAATTTTAAGACCTTGTGAACTGGCCTGGCATTCAGAAGGCCATGCAAAGCTACAGAATCCATACCCACCTTGTATCCCAGTTCTCTAACCCTGTTCCCAGACTATAGTACATACTCAGTACTTTTGCTGAAAAAAAAAAAAAGATCACTTTGAGGCTCAGAGCATTTCCCCATAGACACAGCTGTAAATTATTTTTGTTTTATTTTAGAAAACAAATTGTATTTTGGGATGCCCAGGATAAACCTGTTATTAATTCCCCCTCAGATCCCAATTAAATCCCAAACAAGCAAGCTACTCCAGGACAGAATTTGGGTTTATGAACTGGTGGTATCAAAACAGTACTGAATAAACCAGCTATCAGGAAATGTCTGAGCATATATGTTGATTCCTACCGCTGTCCTTTCCTTTGCACTTAGGTTGTCTTAGGCCTTTGTGTTCTGGTCAAGGTACAAATCAAGAGCTATAATGAAAGTCACACTGCACATGACAAACTGACTCTAACATGGGAGAGTGACTCTCAGCGATGCCACGAGGCATATTCCAGTGTCATAAATTACAATAAGCAAAAGAACTCTCTTTAAAATAAAAGCGCAATCACCTCCTTTAAAAGAAGTCTACTACTTTAAAATTACAAATATGAGTTATAAAAGTTCCTTTCTGGAAGACTATATTTTAAAGGTTACAAACCACTTGCAATATTTCACTTTAACCTGACAGCTAGTGCATGAGTAAAATAAAAATACAACCTCCTGCACTGGAATAAATCATACTTCACAATGCTCTGGTTCTACAAACAGGTCTTTAAAAAATAAGTACTGCCACAGAACTATGCCCTAAATTTGGGGTTCTTCAATGCCTGTTAACAGTCATTTGTCACCAGTCAAGAGAGACAATTTTAGTTTATTTCCCAACCAGTCTGGCTTCCAGTCAGGGAGGCTTTACTTTGTGCCTGACAATATAAATGCACTTCAGTGTATTTAACATGTAAGATAATTTTTTTCTTTTTCTTAAAATATAAATACCAACCAGAACTTGATATATCATATTAAAAAGGTTAAAATGTACATTTTTCCAATTTCTCCTATAAAGCAGTCTTGAAAATAAAAGGAAATGGGGGAAGGGTCATTAGCATAAAAATCTTTAACAGGTGTGGCCCTCCCTGGTGGTGCAGCAGGTTAAAGCACTGCACTGAGAAACTAAAGCCACTTCTGCATGAGTTCAATCCCCGCCTGCCCCGGAGGTGACCACATGGTGTGGCAGACCTCTCCTGACCCGCCCGCTGCTCCCCTCAGCAGGGTACTTCATCGATCTGCCTGTTCTGCTTCCCACTCTGTCTCTGGTGAATCCTCTCATCCTCCGCATCTCTGGCCTGTACCCCAGTTCTGTATGAATAAATAAATCTTTAAAAAAAAAATCTTTAACAGGTGTAACTAAAATTTGTAAGAAATCTTTGAAACAAATTGTGACATTTGATTATAAAGTATTATATGACATCAGAGAATTACCATTACTTTTTCTTTGGTATAAATGAACTGGGGTGCAGGCCAAAGTTGCAGTAGGGTAAGAGAATTCACCACAGAGTCGGGAGCAGAAGAGGAAGATATACTGAACTACACTACTAGGGGAGTAGCAGATGAGACAGGAGAGGTCTGCTGCACCATGTGGGTCAGCTCCCTGGCTGGGGTTTGAACTCAGGCCACTGAGGTGGTAGCACTAAGCAACCTCTAGCTCTAGGCCATCAGGGAGGCCCTACTGTAACTTTTTTTTTAAAATAATAGTTTATTTTTACATCATTTTGTGCATTTTTCCATTTCAGTTGCAATCCTCTTGGGCTTCCCATCACCAAATCACCCATGTGCCATCAACATAGTCTAGTGCATTTCCCTCCCCCCTACTTTTACTTTTAAAGATAAGAATAGAAAGGTTACTTTAAAAATCTTACCAGTTAGAGATGGATAGGATTTGATATGAAATCCTCTAGTTAAAAAAAAAAAAAAAAAGACATAGGGAAAAAGATGAGCAAAATTATAAAATAGTGACAATAATTGAAGTGGCTTAGTGTGTGTTTACCATGCTATCCTCTCCCTTTTCTAACATTCGCTATATTAAGGGAATTATATTCATTTATACATTTTGAGTATGGCACAATCTTGCTTTAGCAAGAATAAATATAGTGGTAACTGAAAATATTTTACAATGATACAAACTGTGGTTCTTGACTCCTACTTTCCATGATCTTCAAAAAAATGTGCTTATATTATGTAGTTAAATATGTATCTCTCACCTTTTCCTTTGTTCTCAGCTCATCAAACATTTGTTGAATTTCCAGTTTCCAGTCATCTTGCATGGAATGAAAAGATTCTTGAGGCATTTCAGTCATAACTACTCCTTCAATAGCCATCAATTGTTCAAGAATTAAGGCAAAGGATGGACGGATATGAGGGTCTTGTTGCCAGCATTCTAAAATAAAAACATTAATTGCAATTCTCAGCATAGTTCAGATAATATTGATAGTGTCTGCTGAAGATTTTAACAATCTAATGAAAATAATTTTGAAAATCTTATTTTACAGCGTCTGTGTGGGAGAGATACCTAACAGCTATATTCACTGTTAGACTATGCTCTCGCTGCTTTTGCTATAAGACACTGCATGTACATGCGGTGCTTTCCATGCCTTGCCACGAGCACTGTGTCTTAACTGCCCTGGCTAGATAATACATCGATACAACAACTCAATTCGAGAAAAATAAAATCTCCCAAAATAAGAGAAATTCAGAGACCTTCCCTAAAAGTTAATTAAGGTAACCTGCTGCTTAACAAAAAGAGTTAACCATGTCAAAGTAAGTCATGGCAAAATCATGCCAGTTAAAACTAAACTATTTTTGATTATTAGATAGAATTTTAGAAAGCCTGTTTGGAGCCAACTCAATATTATCTTTGAACTCCACTAGTGTACTTAATGAAGCTTTATTACCATTCAGATGAATTTTGTATATAAATGAGTCACTGATAACACTGGGTAATTTTAAGTTACTTAGTTCTTCAAATCTTTACCTAATATCGTAGACCAAAGATAAAGTTTCTAATTCCTCAATCATTGTAATTACTTAGAAGTATGTGAAAATTAGAATCATAAAAATCATTCTTTTTGATTAAAAAAGGATATATATTTTAATGAATACATCCTTCGCCACCCCGCCTCCCCCCCTCACTGACACAAAAACCCAGGTGTGCAAATACCTTTCATGAGCTTGGCAAATGGCTCAGGGCAGGTAGAAGGAATGGGCAGAGTGAGTTTATTGACTGCGACCCCATAAGCCACAGCAAGACCATCGATGCCACGATAGGGGACTTCTCCAGTGAGCAGCTCCCACAGCAGCACTCCATAGCTAGAAAGCAAGGTTTCCATGATGTTACACAGGTTGTGTCTCTCTGATGACACAACAGATGGGATTAAAGCATCAGTATCTTCTTCCAGCTCGGAATAAGAATTCCTTTTCTAACAAAGCCATAAGTGCCCATCATCTGAAGGTGAGAGTGGGCCCTTCCAATTACCATCTCAACTGCATGCAAATGCCCACCTTCCCAGAAGGCCCTTGAGCCTTCAGTATAGACATCAAAACTTCTACTGAACAGGAAATCTCCAGAGCAGTGTCTAATAGAATTAAACAGGATCCAGAGCTACACTGCACTTTAAAGAGTACATGTAGGTGCTTGGATGTTTCTCTTGCTAGCTCACTTTTTCCACATCTAGACAAAAGCTATTGAGTACTACCAGGACCCTCAGGATTCTAGCCCCACAGAGATCTCATGCTACACACCTCAGGACAGAGATACAATTAGGTTGAATATAAATTTTTAAATAGCTTTTTTTCACATCACTTTTCTTTCTCCTCTCCCTTTATATTTTAGTAGATATTTTATTAATATTTCCACCATACTGCATAATAGTAGTAGAGAAATAATTGTGGGCCTCCCTGTGCCTGCTGGTAGGACCAAGCCTCTTTTTTCATAATGGAGGAAGCTCAAGTGAAATGGGAATTAAAAACAGGGAAATCCTGCAGCTGCCACACCTCCCTTTAGTCAGCAGATATAGTGCAGACTCTGAATGAGAGCATAGCAGGATTTCTAAATGCATTTTTAACCTTAAGCTTAAGGATTCACTCTTATTACACTTCCAAACCACAGACCTTAAGTACCCCACCATTCAAGGTCATACAAAGAAGCACAGGAACAAGCATATATTTATTCTCTTCTACAGTGCAGATTTCCCCCCTTTCTCTTCTTCAGAACATTCTTTTTTAATACATAAAGAAGCAGAACCACTCCAGAGGAGAACTCTACTTGAGTTCTCATTTCTTATGCTTATTCATAACATTTAAGCATCACTATAAAGACAGCAGACAGAAAATAGTAAAGTGAGCCTTAAAGAAAAAGCAACACAGAATAACACACAAAAAAATCATCTAAAGCTCTGAGCTCCAGGCTCTCCGAGGAAGAACAACAGGTTAAACTACAGCACTATGAGGTGAGCCCCAGCCACTGTAGAAGGAGTTCGATTCTCCACCAGGGGAGTGACTCACAGGGAGCAGCAGACCTCTCCTGTTTCTCTCACTGCTGCTCTCAGCAGTGTGTGAACTGCCTGTACTTCTCCCCACTCTGTGTCTGATGAATCCTCTCACCCCCTGCACCTCTGCCCTGTACCCAAGTTCTTGTATGCATAAATAAATAAATCTTTAAAAAAAAATAGACTTCTGAGCTCCATTGGATTATCTTCTGATTTTAAAGAGATGGGGGGGGCAGGAAGGGGGCTTGAAAGCATGACCCAAACAACAGAAAAAGCCTCCCATGAAGGAAAAACTGGGTTTGCAAAGAGCTGTAAGTTCTAACACCAGATTCAGATCCCTCTGAACCATACACCTTTTCATTTGAAGATCCCTCCATTAATGCCTACTGACAGCACTTAGGATAAAAGATGTAGAAAAAAAAACAGAAGATTTGAGCTTGAACTTTGAGAAAATTACTAATTATTAGCTATGTCTTTATTCACAAAGCCATTAAGGTGATACTGAATTAACTAATCAATGAAAGGCTGTGATATCTGATCTACCATTTCAAGCATTCTACATTTTAAAAAGGAATATGTAGTATATTACTTAGAAAGTATATAATGATTTAACTATTAGCAATTAAATTAAAGACAATGCTTTGTAAAGACTGTATGTTTAATTTTGTAAAATTTTATTATGGCTCATTACAAAGCTACGCTCTTAATTTCAAGAGTAAAAAAATGAATTAACTCATAGATCAAAGTTACAGGATCAAAAAATTCTTAAAATAACTAAAAATTGGCTAAATGCAAAGAAATCTCCTTGCTATACTCATTAAAATATAACAAAACTAAAACAAATAATAGCAACAATGCAACTTTGCTTTTTGGAAGTTTCAGAGAATAAATAACTTCAGGATAGGTAATTTTTCCACAGAGATGAGGAAAAAGAAAAAAAAAGCTGGTAAGAAAAAAAAAAGTTATCTATCTCATTAGAATTATTTCTAAAGTGTAGCCGATGATCTACCATTTTCCACAACTGGATGGAGATATAGGTAAACCCGTCCTGAGGTCTCAAGTGGCCTCATGAGTAAGGACCTGGGAAACTTACTAGTTTCACAACCCTTAGGAAGTTTCTTACCTTCTCTGTGCTTTGGTTTCCTAGTCTGTAAAGGTGAGGTACTCACCAGAAATCTTATAAAAATTAAATGATAGCATCTATCTAAGTTACCTTGTAGTGTAACAACTATTAAGGAGGGAAAAGGGGGAGTGAGTAAACACTAACAAATAATTAACATAGCAATGTTTCCTCAATAGAATTATTTGTGGACTCAGAGGAAGAGAGTCTAAAGCAGGGTCAAGTGGTTCGAGAAATGGCCTTGCCCACTCTCACGCACCCTGACAGAGTGTCCCCTTCTCCAGTGGGGGATGTTTGGCTCCACAATTAGAGGGCTCCTGACCTCTGTAGTTTCTAGTCCTTTTCATAGCATTTCAAGCTTTTTTTCTTCCTGTCACCTACCTTGAGGTGCCAATTTTTACTATTATCAGCTTAGCATTGCTCTCCTCACTTTTTTTTTAAGACTTATTTATTTGTGCATACAGAACTGGGGTACAGGCTGGTGGTGCAGGGACGGTGAGAGGATTCACCTGAGACAGAGTGGGGAACAGAACAGGCAGATGGACTAAGTACACTGCTGAGGGGAGCAGTGGGCAGGTCAGGAGAGGTCTGCCAGGCCATGTGGTCACCTCTGGGTCAGGCGGGAATCGAACTCATGTGGAAGTGGCTTCAGCTCCTTAGTGCTGTACTTTAACCCACTATGCACCAGGAAGGGCCTGCTGTCCTCATTTCTAATTTACTACCTTTACTTACAATCAGATATATAAAATTCAGCTTATAAAACTGAGAATTAATTTTGAAAATTCTCTCAGTGAGTCTATGGACCAGAGACATATCATGACTCATTTTAGAAAATTAATTTTGCTTCTTGATTCTCATCTATGTTGACAACAGATGAGGTTGCTGTGAAACATTTATACGGATTATACAAATTCATATAACTTGTAATTACACAGCTTACACGCAAACAAAACAAAATGGCATAGTCTTAACCAATATTACCTTGAATGTAAATTTGATGTATGATGTATTTTATTTCAGCACACTTTCTTAAAATTATGGAAGTATAATTTCTTAAAAGAATCATCAGTGGCCCTCCATGGTAGCACAACCAGTTCAGACGCTGCACTGCAAGCTTAGCGGCAGCAGTGCCTGTTCCATTCCGCCCCGGAGGTGACCCACATGGCGCAGCAGCTAGTCTTGCTAGCTGCTCCCCTCAGCAGTGTATCTCATCAATCTGCCAGTTCTGCACCACACTCTGTTTCTGATGAATCCTCTCACCACTCCTGCCCCTCTGGCCTGTGCCCCAGTTCTGTATGCATCAATCAATCAATTGATCAATCAATCTTTAAAAAAAAATCATCACTGTTACTTATATTTTTGTATAATCACATGGTCAGAAAATTACTGTAATTAAATCAAGAAAACACACTTCATGTTTTTGTATTTAATTAAAGTTTTTTATTTTCTTACATCATTATTCATTTTTGTATATTTCATTTCTTGCAGATGGCCAACAAGCATATGAAAAAGTGGTCAACATCACTTGTAATAAGGAAATGCAAATTAAAACCACAATGAGATACCATCTTATACCAGTGAGAATGGAACACAATAAAAAAAACTAGCAACAACAAATGTTGGTGAGGATGTGGAGAAAAAGGAACTCTCCTGCACTGCTGGTGGGAATGCAAACTAGTCCAACCACGATGGAAAGCTGTTTGAAGGCTTCTCAAACTGCTAAAAATGGAGCTTCCAAATGACCCAGCAATCCCACTCCTAGCTTTCTATCCAAAGGACACAACAACATTAATTCAAAAGGACACCTGCACCCTTATATTTAAAGCTGTTCTATTTACAATAGGGAAGACATGGAATCAACCCAATTGCCCAAAAAAGATAAACTCATGCTTTTTGCAGCAACATGGATGGAGCTAGAAGGAATCATGCTTAGTGAAATAAGCCAGAAAGAAGGAAAAATACCAGATGGTTTCACTCATAGAATGAGTCTAAGGGATCAGAAAAAAAAAAAAAAAAAAAAAGCAACTGTAACAAAGTAAAATTGAAAAACAAATACAAACCAGACACATTCTACAAGGGTAGAAAGGGGACTAGGATAAAAACTGGGGTGGGTGGGGAGAGTGCATGGGACTATTGTGTTGGCACATGAGTGTACTGGTGGTGAGAAATCCACAGGGATTACAACCAAGAGGGGAAAAAAATGCACAAAATGAGCAATGATGTAAAAAATAAATAAATAAACAGCATTTCATTTCTCCTCAAGTGTAGTTCTCATAAATCTCCCACCACCAATTTACCCGTGAACCATGACCATAGTCCCTTGTGCTCTTCCCTTCCCTATTTCAGCCCCTTTCCCTATCCCTCCCCGCTATATCCCTCAGATATATAGTTTGCCTGAAAATTTTGTCTTTTTTTTTCTGACCCTGTGTTCACTTTCCTGATATTCCTTCTATAAGTGAAACCATCCAATATTTTTCTTTTTTCCTTCTGACTTACTTTACTAAATATAACCTCTTCCAAGGAAATGCATATACTGTTTTAGAAGGACCCACATGCTCACATTCCACCCACAGAGTTTAACTAAGGGATGAGCATCAAGCATTTGTGTTTTTCAAACTGACCCTATGACATTATGGAACCATTAACATGATAAATTTTGTTAAAAACATAAGAACAATGAAATTATATTAAATTAGATCTTGAATACCTATATTTTAATGAATTATTTTTAGTGATACTAACTAGATCTGCCACTAACTTGGTTTGTGAATTTAAGAGAATAACTTCTGGAGCAACAAGGGACTAAGGGGCGGGGATAATTTTTGATGACCACGAGTTCAGAAATTAGACAAATCTGGGTTCTGACACTTATCAGATATGAACTCTTAGCAAATGTCACATGCGCTCTCAGCCCTACTTGTCTCTTAGTTTTAAAAAATTGTTTTTTGAACCACACTTTGAGAAACCACTACTAATTACTAAAATAGCTATAACCAAAAAGTCAGCTAACAAATGTTGGCAAGAATATGGAGAAACTGGAACCCTTATACACTGCTGGTGGGAATGCAAACTAGTACTGCTGCTTTGGAAAAAGTCTGGCAGTTCCTCAAATGATTAATCACATCATTACCACATGACCCAGCAGTTTCACTCCTAGGGACATGCTAAGGAGAACTGATAACATATGTCCACACAAAAACTTGTTCACAAATGTTCTCAGGAGTATTATTCAGAATAGCCCAAAGTGGAAACAACCTATGTGCCTACCAGCTAGTGAAGAGATGAACAAAATGTAGTATATCCATCCAAAGAGATATTATTGGACAATAAGAATGAAATTCTGGCACATTCTGTAACATGAACCTTGAAAACATTATGTCAATTTTAAAAAAGGAAAAAACAAAGGATCATATATTGTGTTATTCCTCTTACATAAAATATCCTTTTATATAAAATTGAAATATATAAAATGTAAATTATTGGTTATCTTAGGATGAGAGGGATGGGATGTTGGGGTGATGGTAAAGGCATGAAGGGTTTACTTGAAATATGAAATGTTCTAATTTTGCTGTGGTAATAGATTTACACCTCCATTAATATAGAAAAAGTCACCAAAATTCTACAATTTAAAAAGGTGAGTATATGATATGTGATTATGTCTTCATACCACTGTTAAAGATAACCACTGGAAAAACCTGGATTTTAATACTAATCACACAGAATTTTTTGAGAATTAAATAAAGGCAAGTGAACTCCTGATTCACTGAAACTATACAATGATTTTTTTCCTTGTTGTTCTATTACTGATAATATCTTCATCTCTTAAAAGACAACTGAATGGGAAATCCATTTGAATCCAGATCTCCATCCTCAAGCTAGAAACTTTAATCTTTAGATGATGCAATCTACAATATGAAGAGGCTGGTCTAATTTTTTTCCCTCAAGCTCCTCCTTTTTATGCTAATGCTCTGTGAATCATGAAAAATCCAAATTTTGTTTCCTGCAAAAACAAACTTTTATTTACTGACAGGCCTTACAAGACCAAGGAGGGTTCTCCAATCAACTGAAAGTCATATAATAATAAAAACTTCAAGATACCCTTTCTGTTGTAATTAAACTTCCTTTTTCAAAACTAAATTCCTCTCAAAAAGGCCCATCCTTAATTTCTGAATACTCTGGAACTCATTTAAATGAAGCATATCAAGCAGCTTCTACAGATGTGTGTAAAACACCTTGCACTTACCTCCAGATGTCACTTCCTTTAGAAAACAAGGAAGATTTGATGACTTCCGGGGCCATCCAGGCATAGGTGCCTGCAGCGCTCATCTTGGTGGTTCTGTGCCACTCTCGTGCTAGCCCAAAATCTGTGATCTTCAGTGTTTTATTGCAGATGTCGTCATGTTCTATCTTCTCAAGGAGCAAAACTACAGAAAAATCACAGGTGCAATGTTTTCTAGTTCTTAAGATTTTTCAGTTACAATTTTTTATACAGCGTTTAAAACCCAGTCTCCATTGCAGTTCCCAGACTAAGTGTGGCTCAATTTTCATTTTAGCTATATGTTACATCTCACATATTGTATCCCTTAGTGGGTCATTTGTGTCCAAAGTTGTGTCCATTTTTAAAAAGCACACATAAAAAAGAAAAAAGAAGAAGAAAATCACACACAATAAAGTTCATTTATAAATATTTCCTTTTGTAAGAAAGTAAATGATTTCTAGAAACAAGAAATAGCTATAAAAATAGCATAGATTAAATCAGAAGTCTGTGAAAGTTTACTTAACGGAAAAAACATATTACTTTCTTCCAAGAAATTAGGTCCTGGTCTAAATGTAGTCTTTTCTAATGAATGATTAGAGAATATTACCATAAATCATTATTATCAAACTAGTATTTAATTACAAAAAGGCTTATAAATCCTTTAACTAACAAATACACTTTACAAGATATGATAACTTCCCCTAAAAAGTGAGTGGTTTAAACCTGCTGTTTGTTCTAATTTATCTCTTCATTGCTTTCATAAAACCCTGCATTCCAACTGTAGCCCATTGTTCTCCTTCATCTGAATGCTCTTCAAAACCCCTCTTCTTCATCTCCCCAACACTAACTTATTTCTGACCTACACCCCACATCTGAGTAACAATCCTATCAAATGGACTGGAGGCTGCCACTTTCCCCTTACCCCATAATCTACACCAGCACTAGCAGACTTATCTTCCTGAAGTGATAGGGCATTCCTTCAATTCTTAAAGCTTCCATAAATAAGCTGCTGAATATTCCTAACAAATAGATGCATCTCAAAACCATGATGCTTAGTGAAAAAGCCAACACAGGATACATGCTCTGATTCCCTATGCCATTCTGGAAAAGACCCAGCAATCAGTTAGTTGTTGCCAGAGGCAAAGGGAAAATCGCCACAAGAGAACTTCTTGAGCATATTTTTTATCTTGACAGCTATGGTGATACAGGATATGTGCCTTTGTCAAAACACCTCAAACAGAACACCCACTGGGGATGACTTTAATCATATGGAACTTATACCGCAACAAATCTGCTTTAAAACAAAAACTTCCTTGGCTCCCTAAAACTAAGAGTTAGTGTCCTAAATCTGGGCATTCATATCCTCTACATTTGCACACAAATTACATTTCTGGCACCTCATTCCTCTGCATGAGAGCTTCCTCTGCCTAAGGGAAGCTTGGCTTCTCAGCCAGCCCCAAAATTATCTTCTCAGTATAACATTCCAAGAGCCTTTAAGCAAAGGAAATTACTCCCTCCCTCATGATCATGTGAGTTTTGTGTTTCTATTATACTTATGAAGCATAAGGTGGTATAATTATTTGTTTTAATGTGTGACTCCCTCACTAGACTGTTAGCTCTGTATATGAGTGACTGTGAAAATGAGAAATAATAGGTTAAGTGTGAAAAGTAAAAGGGTGAGAAAAAGTGAGTGTGAGAGTAAGAAAGAGTGAGAGAATAAGTCAGGTTTTGAAAGAAAGAGAGTGAGAGAGGCAGAAAGTAGTGGCGGTGGGACAAGAAAGAAGATGGGGAGGGCCCTTCCCTCCCTGGTGGCCAGTGGGTTAAAGCACAGCACTAAGAAGCTAAAGCCACCACAGCATGAGTTTGATTCCTGCCTGCCAGGGAGGTGATCACATGGTGTTGCAGACCTCTCCTGACATGCCCGCTGCTCCCCTCAGCAGTATACTTCGTTGATCTGCCTGTTCTGCTCCCCACTCTGTGTCTGGTGAAGCCTCTCGCTGCCCCTGAGCCTCTGCCCTTTACCCCAGTTCTGTGTGCACAAATAAATAAATCTTAAAAAAAATAAAATAAAAAAGAATGAAGATGGGGAGAAATGTGCTTAATTCACCTTTGTATTCATGCATCTTCTGAACTCAAGTCTGGTTCAGAGATGCTTAATATTTACAATGAAATTAATGACACATGCACATGTTTATAGTTGTACTCTGTCTATGCCATTTCCACTTAATAGAATTAGTAACAAATTAGTAAGTTACTAACAATTATTGAGTAGCCATAGCTTGCGTTGTACTTTACATGTACTATTCAATCAAGCCTAACAAAAATTCCAAGGGACAGGTTTTCATTTTCAAAGGCTAGTTTAGTAGTGAAAAATATTAAGTGACAAAGAAAATCCACTTGGCCTGTAATCCAAATTTCAAAGTAAATGTGGGGAGAGGAATTGATGTTTAGGTGTTAGCCTGAAAAATAAAATGAAAACAAGTTTTATTTTAACCTTTATCTAATGACATTTTTTAAATTGCAACCATGCAGTAATTTTTAGACAAATATTAAGCAAGTATGGGTGGTTTTTAAGAATAAATGATCTAAATACTGGAGAACAGCATAAGACCTTCAAGTTTGATTGTTGTTACATGATCATAAAGGGCCACTTTCCAAATAGCTGTAGGTGAAATTATGTTTAATTAGCACATTCAAACACTTACAGGCTTTCAATCATATGATCCACATCACAGTCCTTTAGGTAGCAACAATTTATTATCTTTATAAATAAGGAAGCTAAGACTCTGAGTTGTTGTTCTTAATAATTTGCCCAGGCCTTCCCTGGTGGTGCAATGGGTTAAAGCACAGCACTTCAGGCTAATGTGGCTGCTTCACTGTGAGTTCGATCCCTGGCACCGGAGGTGACCCACATAGCACTGCAGACGTCTCCTGCCTCGCCCGCTGCTCCCCTCAGCAGTACACTTTGTCAATCTGCCTGTTCTGCTACCTGCTCTGTCTCTGGTGCACCTCTGACCTGTACCTCAGTTCTGTGTGTATAAATTAAAAATCTTTTAAAGTAATTAATTAATTAATAATTTGGCCAAGAACATGTAACTTAAGGTACAATGAAACTCAAGCCTGGCCCCAGAGCCCACAGTCCTGACTACCATTGAATTGCTTGGTTGAAAGCTGTTACTAATCTTTCACAAGTTTTTTCTATTCTTTGGAAATCTCTTTCTTCTTCCCTTTATATTTCCTATTAAGGATGATTCTCAGATGACCCAGAAGCAGTATGGCACCAAGGAGTCTAGGGCAGACTGCTTGATTTGGATGGACTCAGCCTCTGTTGCCTTGCTGTCACAGGAGCTGTGGCACTTCATACTTAGAACTGTGATGAGGCTGTAATGAGGAAGAAATGGATGATGGAAAGTACTTTAAAAGGCATCCAAGGGCCTTCCTGGTGGTGCAAGGGGTAAAGTCTCAGCACTACCAAGCTATATCACCAGCCACTGCAGCATGAGTTTGACCGCAGGCCAGGGAGATGACCCACATGGCAGAACAGACCTCTCCTGTTTCACCTCCTGCTACTCTCGTCAGTGTATTTCAGTAGATCCTCCCAGCTCTGTCTCTGGTGAATTCTCACCCCCGGAACTCTGGCCTACACCCCCACTCTTGCATGCATGCATGCATAAATATTTTTTAAAAAATAAAATAAAAAGGCGCCTGAAATGCAGTAAGCATTTCAAAAGGATTAGACATAACAAAACTTTATCGATGGGTTTGAATGTCTTTTTAGCAGAATTATAGTAATATTCACAATGGACAAGATATGGAAATAACCATCAACTGATGTATGGGTCAAAAAGATGGGATAATAATACATATATTATTCAGTCACAAGAAAGGGAGACACCCTGCCAGTGATGACCACATGAATGAGACTCCATCCTACTTGCACATCCATCCAAATCAGGTTTGTTGTGGTTATGTAGGTGTTAACACAGTAGGTAGCGAGGTCAAACTCCAACCACTTTTCCTACTCTTAATCTCAATGCTATGCTACATCATGCATGGTGCGGGAGAAGGGTAAGACACTGCCTTCTGTTTGGAATAGACTCTTATGTTTTCTGTCCATACCTATTCTACCTGTTCTTTAGATCCAGCTTCCTGAAGAAAGACTTACAAAGCACCCTACAAAATAATAACTTTTATCTCCCCAGTCATTTTATGTGCATAATATGTTGCCTTGTCCAGTTATCTTTTTACCTAAAGTATATGGCCCCAAATTATATACAAATTATATAACCTCAGTAACTTTATAGCTTTCCTCTGTGTCCTCTAACAGCATCTAATATAGCATCTTGTGCATCACATATGGAATAGTTATTCATAATAATTATCACCATTATCACCTGTACTTCTAATATGGATATGAACTACCATTTATTGACTCTGTGCTCCATTTAAGCCTACCACCATTTGATGAATTGGGAATTTTAATTTCTAGAGTACAGTATGGAGTATTACCCAAGATCATATGGCTACAAATAACAGCCAGGCTTCGAGTCCTGTCTGCAGGACTAGCTCCCCAACCTCTGCGACTGTCAGGCCTACTAGTTATTAAAGGGGAGAACAAGCAGAAACTTCATTTTTAAAAAAAGGAAAAAAGGAAAAAAGGATTTATTTCTATTTACTTATGCATACAAGTGCTGAGGTATAGGCCAAGGTGTTGGCGTTGGGAGTGAGAGGATTCAGCAGAGTAGGGAGAAGAGCAGGCAGATCTACAAATTCACTGCTGCAGGGAACAGTGGGCAAGACAGAGGTCTGCACCTGTGGCTTAGTTCCTTGGCTGCCAGTCACCAACAACTTCATTGTGCTGAGACTTAACCCCTTGTGCCACCAGGGAGGCTCCCAGAAACTTCATTTTGTATACTGTTTAAAAGAATACTTTTTAATTTTTCCTTTGTTCCATGTCAGATAAAGGTATGTGTGTGTATGTGTATATAGTGTGTGTGTGGGTATCTTACTTATTGTTCTTCATGACTATCAAGAAAAACAAAAATATGGTCCTTTAAAACTCTATACATAGGGCCCTCCCTGGTGGCGCAGCGGGTGAAAGCACAGCACTAAGAAGCTAAAGCCACTTCAACATGAGTTCAATCACCACCAGCCCTGGAGGTGATC